TTATATTATATTATTAAAAGCAACCATATATACTTGTACAATCAGTAATAAAATTTGGTGCAATCATTCGGGGTAATGGTAAAAATAATTTGTGAATGTGTCACATTATTTGACCATTTTCGTGGTTTTGGTGCCATTTTACGCCAACATCCTACACTTTTATTCCAATTATTATATTTTATTATTAAAAGCAACCATATATACTAGTATAATCAGTAATCAGTAATCCAATTTTGTTCAATCAAACAGGGCCAAGGTAAGAAAATTATGAATGTTGGTCATAGTGTAATTAAATAATAAACCACTGTATTTGTGTTCTTTTAACAGCATTTTTTCCTAAAGATCCTTCACTTTTTAAATTTACATATTTTTTTATAAGAACTATCCTGTATACTTGTACAATGTGTAATAACAGTAGGTGCAATCAATCAGTAGCAAGGTGAGGTTCGTGGTCTATTCTCATAAATAACAGACTATCTATCTTGTGGCCAGGGTGAAGGAGTGGGGGAGCCGCCGCAACTGCTAGGCGACAGCTGGTGACAGCTATCTTCACGGCCGTCCAAAGTTCATTGAAATTTACAAAGACCTCAGATTCGCAAAATCATCGTACTATATGAAGGTGTAAAGGGCAATTTTCAAGTTTAGTTTTTGTCGATTATGAAAGCCATTAGGTGTTATTACTGACAGAAAACAACAAAGCATTCCATTGGTTTTATACACTTTACGTATTTTCATTTAGTTAGTTATCACTTTTCAATTTTTTTTTGTTCACACGAAAGCATTAATAACCGCTCCACTCATGAGACTGTGTTACTACTATCGTTGAAAAATACTTTTTCAATAATTTTATATGTATTTACTTCAAGGTGTGCATATCTAAAAAATAAAAAGCGTATACTGTAATTTTTTTTAACGCAAATTGGTTTTGTGTCTGTGACAGGCAGCTTGACACAATACCTTTACCTAATGATTCAAATGATTCAAATGATTTTATTGGCCATTCAGTTATATACAAACAATAGGCTACGTCAAACAGATAATAAATAATAAATAAACATGCCAAACTTCTTCTTGCACTCTTCACTAAAGCAATGTAAAGCAATGCATGTTTATTATGCTTATATGCATGCTTATATAACTAACTAACAGCACCTGTATGTTAACAACATTTATCCTAAATATATTAACTTTTAGTTGGAAAAGGATTTGTTTACCCCTAAATTATTTTTTGTCACGCCAGTAGTGGCATTTTTTACTTGAAGAAGAGTTTCAGGAGGAGGTTACCAAATGCTTTTAGGGAAAGCAGTCCAAATCCATATATGTGCTTTGGATGCCATATTTGAAACTATGGGTAACCCAAGAGTGATAGGGTGTATTGCTAGCCTTGTGGTTAGCGTCTCAGACTTTGGTGCAGGATGAAGGATGGTTTTGACCTGTTGCATATCCACAAATCAACTTAAACATATGTTTGTCCTATGTGCAACTTGTCCTAAAATCACCATTCTTATTGTTCAGTTGCTACAGGAAAGACTATGTTGATCTACAAAAGTATATACAAAACCAATCTATACATTTTACAGTGGACTGAGCCTGTTATCATTGTTACTAATCCTTCGGCTCTCTCTTGTCATTTAGTTCAACTATGGCCACCTTTAACTCCAGGCCGCGGCCTTCGAAGTGGCAACTTCGCAAGTAGTGTTGTAACAGCTGTTTTGTTTGGAGGCAGCTAAAGGTATTTGTTTATGTTTTACGAAACCTTGGTTACTGGTCTATGAAAATATTGACTCAGCTTTAAATGTAGGTACAACAATATATTTTAAATCAAAATATTGTTTTGGTTTTCAATTCTTATGTGTTTTATTTCCAATCTTTTAATAAATCTATCTTCATAACTTTAAATTTAAATTAATAATGAATGAATTAATGAGCTGGTGTCACCTGTCTGCCATGTCTGGCTAAAATCACAGATAATATAACCCCTACTAAAATACACTACTTGCCAATTCTACCAGGCCACGGCCTGTAGTTAAAGGTGGCCGTGGTTCAACTTAAGCTATGGTTCCGCAGACTGCGGAACTTTCGCCGTGCGGTGCGTTATTTTCCGCTGCGGAAAATTACGTAGCGTAAATCTGGAGGGGTTGAATGTTTTGTAGAGAATGAAATTAAATGGAGATTATAAGAGGAGAAAAAAATGAACACACTTTTGGGATAGGAGAACAAGCACTGTTTTATTTACTTTTTGATACACAACATGTGTTAGCAATAGAGAATAATTTAATTTGATTAAGAATACATGTTAGTTGCAAGGAAAAGAGATGTACATTAAATAAAACATAGAGTGTTAAATAATATGAATGGTTAAAGTTTACTGAACATACCGGGGGCCTTGAATCCCCAGTGGATTCAACAAAAACAGTTCACGAATCCACAGTTGGCAGGGGAAACACTTTGTGGGCAGATCTTCTGAGGTTGCCACTTGATGTTTTTAAGTCTATCACTCGCACAACCCCATCAGCCCCTGGATGAACTGCTGTAATTCGAGCGAGAGGCCACGAGAGAGGTGGTGAGTCCATATGTACCAGAACAAGGTCACCCACTTCAAGATTTTTTGATTTCCGAGTCCACTTGGTACGTTGTTGCAAGTTGTTTAAGTATTCTAGGTGCCATCTATGCCATATGCGTTGATGAAATGCTTGAACTAGCTGCCATTGCTTGAGACGGTTTTCAGGAACTGTCAGGAGATTAGGTTCAGGTACTGCTGTGAGGGGTGCACCAATCAGGAAGTGTCCGGGAGTCAGTGCTGCGAGATCCGAAGGATCATTTGAAAGAGGTGTCAGTGGTCGGGAATTGAGCATTGCTTCGATTTGGGTCAACAATGTGATGAATTCAATGAGTGTTAAGACTGAGTTTCCCATTACTCGACGGAGATGATGTTTCACATTCTTTACAGACGATTCCCACAATCCTCCTTGATGCGGAGCGGCTGGTGGATTAAAATGAAAATTGATGCCTTTAAGTGAAGAGAATCGTTGAATCTTCCGTTTGGAGTCTTGACAATAAAGAGATTTTTCAACAATCTTGCGTAGGGTAGAGTCAGCACCAATGAAGTTGGACCCACAATCCGAGTAAATGTCGGAAGAATGTCCTCTGCGAGATACAAATCGAGTCATTGCAGCAATGAAAGATTCAGTCGTTAGGTCTGTTACTACTTCCAAATGTACAGCTTTCGTGACGAGGCAGATGAAAGTACAAAAGTATGACTTTATGTGTCTCACTGCCTTGAGGTTGAAGATTTTTACAGTAAAAGGTCCTGCATAATCTATGCCGGTGTGGAGGAAAGGTCGAGCAGGAGTTACACGAGACTGAGGGAGATCAGCCATGAGAGGACACACATTTCTAGGTTTGACTTTGAAACATCTGACACATTTATGGATACGAGAGCGTATGGCACAACGGGCAGACAGTATCCAAACATGTTTGTAAAGTAATGCTTGAGTAAGCTGAGGGCCTGAATGAAGATTGTAGATATGGTAGTGGTCAATGAGAAGATTTACCACATGATGCTTTTTTGGCAGAATAATGGGATGTCGAGCATCTTCAGGAAGTGATGTCTGAGAAAGACGTCCTCCAACACGCAATAATCCAAATGAGTCAATGAAAGGTGAAAGACGTTGTAAACGAGTGGAGCAAAATGATTTCCGTTTGAGGCAGTTGATTTCTTCTGTGAATACTTCTTTTTGTACAAGTTTAAAAATGTGATATTTTGTGTCTTTCAGTTCCTGTGTTGAGATGAAACCTTGGCGTTTTTCAGAACCTTTACAGTTGTGTATGAAACGAAGGACGTAAGCAAAAATCCTAAGAAGTCGTTCCCATGAAGAATATTTAATGAGAAGATTGGTCAGCGTAGATTCAGTGGTAGTTGACACAAGTACAGTTAGAGGAGTGTGTTTTACTTCATCTAATGTTGAGATATCTGTAGGTGAAAAAGTTACATCAGGCCAGTTTGAAGGGGGAAGAGAAAGCCAAGAAGGCCCTGACCACCAAAGGGGGTGAGACACAAGCTCAGTGGCTAGAATACCTCTTGAAGCACAATCAGCAGGGTTTTCCTTGCTAGGGATGTAACGCCAACAGTGATAGGGGACAAGTTCTTGTGTTTGGGCGACTCTGTTAGCCACGAATGTTTTCAGCCTGTAAGATGGAGTTTGAAGCCATGTCAAGGTTACTGAAGAATCACACCACAAATAACATTGGTTGAGTGAAATTAAGGGTTTGAATGAAGAACAACAGAAGTTTACGAGTTGAGCTAATAAGTGGGCAGCGCAGAGTTCTAATCGTGGAAGAGTCACCTTCTTGAGAGGGGCGACTCTAGTTTTAGATAAAACCATACGTGTAGTCACTTCTCCGTTGGGTTGGGAACATCGTACATAGACAACAGCTGAAAACCCACGTTCAGAGGCGTCTGAGAAGCCGTGAAGTTCAACACTAGAATTTGGAGAGATTTTCAATGCTCTAGGGATCTGAATGTCTGCAAGTGCTGGTATCGCTGAGATAAAGTTACTCCAAATTGCACTAAGTTCTGGAGTGAGAGGTTCATCCCATTGTAGACCGGTCGTCCAGAGAAGTTGAATAAAACATTTCGCTGTCATAGTACATGGGCTAAGAAATCCACAAGGATCGTATATTTTAGCGACTAGACTGAGAACGTGACGTTTAGTTAGTGTTTTTGGCGGTAGGTTGAGATGAAATGAAAAATTGTCCGAGTCTGGAGACCAGTGTAGGCCAAGAATTGAGAAATGGGGATCAGGTGTATTTTCAAGAAAGACTGGAGAGTCTTTATGAGTGTCTGGAAGAGACTGAAGAAGCTCGGGAGAATTTGAAGTCCATTTTCGAAGTTCAAAGTGTCCACGGTTGAGTAGTTGAATGAGTTGATTTTGAAGGTTCTTTGCTTCATCTACCGTGTCTGCTCCAGTTACAATGTCGTCTACGTAAGTCTGAGTGCGCTAGACATTTGCTGCTTCAGGGAAGTCTTTACCTTCGTCTTCAGCTAACTGGTGGAGGGTACGAATCGCTAAGTAGGGTGAGCTATTTACTCCAAAAGTCACTCGAGTGAGTTTGTATGTGGATATATCTTCAGAGGGATTGTCACGCCACAAGACGAGTTGGAACAGTTGATCGGAAGGTTTGATTAAGATTTGAAGATACATTTGGCGAATATCGCAAGTGAAAACGATATTGTGTATTCTGAAATGTAGCAATATATCACAAATGTTGGTCTGTAATTTAGGGCCGGTCATGAGAGATTCATTGAGGGAAATTCCAGAGCTGGTTTTGCAGCTTGCATCATAAACGATTCGGAGTTTAGTTGAGGTACTGGATGGTTTCACAACTGCATGGTGTGGCAAGAAATAGTGAGGAGAGTTGATATCTAGATGAGGTAGTTTTACCATATGACCTTGAGAGATGTGTTCATTTATATTGTCAGAGTAAGCTTTATACAAATCAGGAGAGAGTGTAAAACGTCGTTCAAGTGAGTGAAAACGTCGTTCTGCGATGAGTTTGGAAGATCCTAAAGGTGGATGATTTTCTTTAAATGGTAGCTGAACTAAATAACGGCCATTTTCGTCCCTAGAGTGGGTAGCTTTAAACACATCTTCACACTGTTGCTCTTCAACCGATATCTTTGAGGGTACAGATAATTCCTCTAATTTCCAAAATTTCTGTAGAGAGTTATGCAATTCGTTGTCAACCGTTGAGAGCAGAGAGATGGATGGAGTGTTGGCAGGCTGGGAATCGGTTGAACAAGGTGCATTCCCCATAACAACAAAGCCAAAGTGAGTTCCCATCATGTTAGGCATGTTAGGGCCGAGAGAATAGTTTTCATTCGTTAAAAGAAGAGGGAAGAGAGAAGCTCCGATCAGCATGTCAATGGGCCCTGATAAGTGGAAGCTGGGATCAGCAAGGGGGTAAGGTTTTACTTTCAATAGAACTCTTTGTGATATTTGAGATCTAGGGAGATTGACAGATATTTTATCAAGTATGTGCACTTCATGGTTGGATGCAACTAATTTTCCTGCCAGTGTGTTAACAGTGAGGTTCACAATACCCTTTGTGAGAGTTGGAGATTGAGAAAGACCAACTACTTGTAAGTTGGATTTGAAACGAGGTGCATTCAGTAGTTGAGCAGCTTTTTCACTAATAAAATCACACATGCTGCCACTATCAATCAATGCTCTGAACACATGAGAAACGTTATTTTGAGCAGTAACTTTAACCAGTGTTGTGCCTAAAATTACAGTTTTAGGGATTTGATTAGCAGGACTGGCTTCCTGTGAGCAAAGAGATACGGTAGGTTTTTCATTCGAAACATGAGTGGTTGATGGTTGTGATGATGTAGAACCTTGAGATGTCTTGTCATGTTCAAAATGAAGTAAGGTGTGATGACGTTTGTGGCATTTGAAGCAAGATGCTTTAGAATTACATGTTTTAACATCATGTTTTCCGAGGCAAGAGACACATCTGTTGTTGTCCTTTACGGTTTTAAAACGTTCATTTGAAGAAAGAGAGAGAAAGCTAGGACAAGCATAAACCTTGTGGCCAGTTGATGAGCAGACAAAGCAGGGAAATGAGAAAGGATTTTTTGAGTTGTCTTGATTTGATGGAGTTGGAGTAGAGACCATTGTAACTTTCTGAGCTTGAATGAAAGAGGGCTTGGATGTGAAAGATTTGGGTTTAAAATTTGAATTGTGGTTGTTCGTACTTTGAGCAAACTTGGTATGTAACACAGCGTCTTCCATTTGGTTACACTCTTGATTAAGAAACTTGACTATTTCGACTACTTCTGGTAGAGAATGTGTTTCGCATTTTATATTAATTCTAAAAGCCTCTAGTTGTTTTAGAAGGTCATTGTCTAGTTTTCGTAAGAGTATGGTGGACAACAGAGGGTTAGAGTTAGAAGTAATGTCACAGTCAAGAGCTTTAAGTGCTTCTGTGTGTTCATAAAACAAGTTGAGGAACGTTCTGAGACATTTGTTTGAGGTAGAGGAAATGTCCGGTAGGTCGATCAGTTTGTTGAGGTGAAGTGTAGTTAACCTTCGGGTGTTGTGGTATCTGTCTCTGAGGAGCTGATAGGCAATTGAGTAATTGGCTGAAGTGATACTGAAAGCTTTTACGAGATTTAGTGGTTCATTTTTGAGCACGCTGAGAAGATATTGAAATTTAGTGACGTTTGAAATGCTTTCATTCAGATGGATGCTAGTGTCAAATAAGTTGATGAAACTTACCCACTGTAGAGGAGAACCATCAAACGTGATGAGGTCTAGTTTTGGGAGTCTTACATGAGCAGATGATGAAGCTGAGATGTCACTAATTCTTGTTGAATCTTTACTTTCTTCTGGAACATCTTGCGGCTGCTGTTGGAGAAGGGCTTCAATCCGAGACTTGGCTTCGACGAATAGCAGTCGCAGTTTGTCTTCAGTGTCACTTACTGCATCCAAATCTAATTCTTCTGATATATGTTCCAAGGCTCTTTCCAGGTAATTTTCATAGGCTTCATGTTTCTTTTCTAACTGGTTCGAGAAGTTGTTTAAAGTTCTGATTTGTATCACTGACAAGATTGAGGGGGAAAGTGTTTCAAGCTCTTGTACAGATTTGAGAATCTTTTCAAAAGAATTTTGTATGAGAAGGGTTGATTTGTTGAAGTTTGAGAGTGAAATTGATCTGGTAGCCATATTGGACAAAACAGATGGAGTGTAACTTTACTAAGAATTAGATAGAGTTTGTGACACTATGAGAGTGGGGAGAAACATAAAGAGATTGAATGATAAAATAAAGATATTTCGATAGCTTGAAAGTGTTCTGAAAATTGAATCCAAAGACTGAAATTCAAAATCCAGGCTCGATTAGGACCAATGAATGTTTTGTAGAGAATGAAATTAAATGGAGATTATAAGAGGAGAAAAAAATGAACACACTTTTGGGATAGGAGAACAAGCACTGTTTTATTTACTTTTTGATACACAACATGTGTTAGCAATAGAGAATAATTTAATTTGATTAAGAACACATGTTAGTTGCAAGGAAAAGAGATGTACATTAAATCAAACATAGAGTGTTAAATAATATGAATGGTTAAAGTTTACTGAACAGGGGTGGTTCCACTGACCGCGGAAATAACGTTGCGGAAATTCAGTTCCGTCCAAACTAGCGACGATTATGGAACACAAATATAATACCATAAAATAATATTAGGTAATATTCAGACTTAATTATTTTTAATTGTGGTTACTTTTATTGTCAACTGATGTTAGACCTAGTTCTTAAAAATCGCCTTATTAATTTTTTATGAGGATGGTGATAGTAAACATTAATAAAATAACAATTTGAACTTAAATTGTAGTTTCGTTGATACACGAATAAAAAATACAAGCCGCGAAAAGAATAAGGTTATTGAAATAATATTAGAAAAATAAATTATCACAATAACTTATAGGATAGTTCACAATAATTAATTGATGGCTCTTCTCCGCTGGCGGAATCCGCACTGCCACTGCTATCAGACCAGTATGATTTGTCCGCCATGCGGAACCGAAAATTCGGGATGCGGACACGCACGTCAGTGGAACCGCACACATGCCAGTGTCGTTTTAATTCCGCAGCGGAAAAAATCGCACCACATGGCGGAGATTCCGCATTCTGTGGAACCATAGCTTTAATAAGCTGAACATGAATGCAGGGCATGTGTAGTGGAATGGAGTGAGATTATCAATGTAGCTTTGTATTGCTACTCAGATTTCCCGATTCTATAGCCAGGACCATTTGTTAGAGTCCAGATCAAGGACAGCCGGGTCCTGGGTCCTACCATTGATTATATATTTCCCAATAATTGTGAGTTTGTTTACAACAATATATTAAAATACTGTGTTGTAGGTAATGAATAAATTGTTAGCGGTATCCTATATTCTAATACGAGCTATGCCTGTTTGTCTGCCTATCTGTCCGTCTGTAATATATATCTCGAAATTCAGCGGAAGGATTTTGACATAATTTTGGAATTAGGGATTTATGGCTCTAAAAACAGATTGGTGTCAGCATCAGGAAAATTTGTATTTCGCTACTCAACTCATTTAAAAAATTCAAAAATTTTACATTGGCCTTATGGGTTGCCAAGTAACTACCGTATGTTGGTTGAACAAAATAACAAGTACTAATAATAGGTTAAATGCCTTTTTACGTCTTCAATCCTAGTCCTCTTTTTTTCTGATGACTAGTTTCGGGGCAATCTGCTCCATTGTCGAATCTTCTGCCTTGTTAATTACTGTTAAAAGCATTGGTAGCTGCATTCCACATCTAGTACATATACACACTGTTAAATGAAACATTTGTATTTACATGAAACAATTTAACATTTAATACTCTTGGCCGGCCTAAACAAATTACAGTACTAACATCGTGCGGACCGGTACATTGATAGCCAGTCAGTGTTAAATTGTTTCATGTTAATATAAATGTTTCGTGTGCCGGTATGTGTATGTACTTACATATTCTAGTATTCGTGGTAATAAACAATACGCTTGAACCGAAATCACAGCCGTGCGAGGCTCGGTCTCCGGTACTGATAATATATCAGCAGAGATCTTGATGAATAGTCCAGCTAAAACAGATGATAGATACAATTGATTTTTAACAGCTGATTACTTCTGATATACCCAATTGCGAGAGTATTTCACGTGATTATATAAATAATTGTATAAATCTTACAACCCTCCAAACCAATTTACAAAAACCTTAAACAAATTTGTAGTTTTGAGTTTTAAGTAAGTAGAGAAGCAGGTTACATGACTTCATTGTGTGCCAATTTATGAAGTTGATGCTGCCTGTAGTTTCTAGTTTCTATTGAGTGAAAGGGTTTCATACGAGTGTTCCGTCCTGTACCTTAACTTCGATGTTGAATACAAGGTTCTGAATAAAATTAAATACAAAATCCATTTATTTCTTAAATTGCGAATTCATCTGCGTGACAATTGGCATTATTGTTTTTTTTTTTTTTTTTACTTTGTGAGTTTCTCTCTATCAGAAAACATAACACATCAATACGTCACAGCATTACAAAGAGATTAAACCACAGTTAACGTTTCCTATGGTTATAAAACAGTATAAAATACAATTTAGTATCTGGCAATTGCGTTTAGTCCACATGCTTGTTTAAGCCTTGTAAAGTTTAATATATTATGCAATCAAACAAATCTTCCATGATAAACAAACTCTGGAATGACATACAAAACATGTTTTCGAGATTCCAGTGCCAATCATGACTGAGAGCAAGATATAATCATTTGCATATGTTTAAACTGGTTATCATTTGGGCATATGAAAAATTACCTTGTAGAACCTGAAATGTTTAATGAATCAAACAAGAAATTTTCATTTCTAAAGGAAAAAATCGCTTTAATACAGTTAAAACTGCCAACAAAAATCTAATTACTTAAAAAAATGAAATTGAAAGTCAAAACTGTTTAACATTGGTCTTATGTGTTGCTAAGTAACCATGTTGGTTGACCAAAATAACAAGGAAAAAGTAATCAAAAGACTTGTAAGCTGTGATAAGTGTTCATAATAAGCGATCTACCCACAGTATACTAGCAAATTACAAAATACAGTTCAAAAGGAAAAACATCAGTTGTGAGCAAAGATTACACTGAAGATAACTCGATATAGGTGAACATAGTTCCATGTTCCGATCAAATACTGATTATTTAACTTGACTCTCTTCTACAAAAACTTAATCCCCAAAGTAATCTTAATTCAAACAAAATGTCAAAACAATGTTTATGCAAGTATAGGCTATCATAAACGAGAGACCTCTCATCGACTGTAAAATAAATGAATGTCTTAAGGATTGTCAGGTTAAAATTTCCATCATAATAAATTGAAATTCCACTGAAATTTAAATAATAAAAGCCAATAAAACATGAGTTTCCATTATATTGCTTTTACAATCGAAATAAACTACACCGAGCCATGTCCCCAGATACATTCTTTTAAATATTTTTATTTTAATTCATAAGGTGAACAAGCGAAATTTCAAAGCCACTGGGGTGGAGCCCGAAAGGATTTTTGAGATAAGGGATTTTTTTCCGATGCCGAGTATTATAATATTATGTGTGATTCCCAATTTCGGTGTATTTTTATTCATTTCACAATTTAGATTAATTATAGTTTTATAAATGTATAATCCATACATTGTAAATATATAGAATTTAGCAAAATACTGTTTCACCGATTGGTTGCCTCCTAAGTTTAACATACAGTATGCGTATGGCTCTCTTTTGTAAAATTAATATACAGTACTATCTAAATTTTGAATGGTTATTGCACCATATAATTCAATGCCGAATACAATATGTGAGTAAAGTAAACCTTCAGTAAAACATCCAAACGAGCAGAGCTTAGACAAGTTGTGCAGCATAAATAGACCTGAACAAATTTTACTTTTTAGTCTATCAATGTGGTACTGTACAACCCACATAAATTTTGATCAGTTATTAGTCCTAATAGTTTAGTTTGAGTCGCTTGGGTTAAGTAATTGTTATAAATTTTTTAATTGTTTAATTTTTTTGGCAGTTGAAAAATTTATGTAATTATTTTTCTCTGAGTTAAGCAATACATTTTTACAAGATAAATATTCATATATAGATTTAAGGCTACTATTGCCTATATATTTAATTTCATTTTTTGATCTACCAGAAGCTATTAAATTTGCATCATCAGCATAGAGGCATAATTTACTGTTTAAGTTCGTTAGAGCTAAAAGGTAGGCTTTTGATATAACAGAGGAATAAAATTGGACCAAGAATAGAACCCTGAGGGACTCCATATGAAACTTGTTTTAAAGATTATTTGACTTTATGTAATTGATTGAATTCTGTAATTGTATTCCGTTCAACATATTGCTGCCTGTTTTATAAATATGATTTAAACCAATTTAGTGAATTACCAGTAATACCAAAACGTTGTAATATTGAAATAAGTGTCTGATGCGAAACACTATCGAAATGCTTTATACGGTCCATGAAAATTCCAACACAGTAGTCGCCTCTATCAATAGCATCAATAACAGTCTCAACTATATCAATACCAGCAGTTGTTACAATCGATTTATGGATTTTTATACAAATTAGGCACAGATTCAACCAGGAGTTAAGAATAAAAGTCTTTGCAATAAATTGTGTTAATAGTTTAGAACTATGGGGTCGTTTTTCATAGGTACTTTAAAAATTTTAATGAAATCGTTTTTGTAGGTGTAGTCAATTGTTTTTATCAGTTAAATAAATAGAACTGACAAGCCTGAAATAAATTTCGCGTGGGTATTGTTTTTTACGTCAAACTATTCTGGTTAATGTTATTTCATTTTAACTGTTATTAACTAGTACAGTATATCAATACAAGGTTTTGTGCAATATGGTTGCATGTTAAAGTGTATTTAACTACATTAGTCATGTCGGTAAAGTATAGTAGCACTTGACCAAGTACTGAGAAATCACTAAATCAATACGTTCTGGGTAACATGAACAGGAGTGGTAGAGCCAATACAAGTGTAACTGCTGGTATACATTAACGGTACTCGTAAATTAATCAAGCAACTTACTTAATTAATTATCAAGTACTTAAGCAATTAAGTATGTTATCCTGAGAAGAGTCAGCTCCTTCACTCGTGTTCATGTTAAAATTTGAAGCTGTTTTTCTATATGTCACTGTTATATATAGAGACAAAATCAATTTCATTTTCAATTAAAAATATGTTTTAGTAACAACAAAAGTTATTTACAACTTTCTTAAGTAAAAGAATTCGTACAATGAGTTTCGCTGGCATCACGAAGTCCCGTCATATTTCCTTTTCTTTTAATAATTTATCGTTCAATACACAATAGTTGTGCCAACTAATTAATGGTATAGTGAATTTGTTCCACACAATGTCAACAAAACAACGCAACAATAGACGTAATTAAGATGGCTGTGGGACAACAAAGCTGTTGACATCAGCTGATGTGGTGGTGGTTTGCGCGGGAGGGAGGCGGCACATTTGGCGGGAGCCGCACTCCAGCCAGTTCTCTGTCAGAGAACATTGTGATTAGTGCACGATGTAGTGTTCGGTTATCACTACTAGTTTCTTATCAGTTGTGCCGTGTTGATATGTATGTAAGTGTTGAACTTGTTTACTAAGTGGGTTTCATTGCTCTGTACATAGAAACAAATTTGTTCTAGAAAGAAAATATTTGTTTTTCAATTATGTTTGATAATAACACTTCTACACTTTTACTGTAAATATTTACAAGACGGTAAATACACTGTTACAGTGAAATGTAACAATTTGTTAATTTGTTAGGCGTGATAAAACTTTGATAAACTAATAAGTTACAAGTGTGATAAAATAACATCCGTGACTTGTAAATTGAAATAGAAAATGTAAAAATTGTAGTAAAAGTTGTATTTGTCAAATATAAAATCTGAACTCTAATATTATAGTTCGAGTAAAGCTTAAATTAACTTGTTTTGTATTTCATTGAAAACGTTGTATTTAACTAAAAAAAAAAATAGGAAATAGTTTAAATATAACAGCAATAGTAAAAAGAGTTCATTGATTAGGAAAAAAACATGATAACTAATAAACATACAATTTATTAGATAACGATAAATCTATTATGTTATTTGCAGACTTATAAGGGTAGTCTTCAATAAAAACAAATTATTTAACGTTGGTTTGTCGTCTGGCCATGAATATATTCCATACCGTATTTGTAATTTATAAATGTGTAGATTAAAAACTCACTGAATTATTATTTTAGACCAAACAACGAATATAATAATAATTTGTAACGTCTAATGTTAATTAAATACTACGCCATAAAGCACTCCTAGAATCCTCAGCATTGTCAATTGATAATAATGACAATTGACGTTGTCCAAGAAATTCACTCAATTATGACTAAGACTGCTCAAAAGTATAGAGGTACTTTTGAGGACCAGTTAGATTAAAATATCCAGTTACCCATAAAAGAACTCATGTGTAGTAGCATTTGACGAACCCAGCCATGTATACAGTATGAAACTGGGCCTAGATATACAAGTCGATTCAATTAATTTATTGAGGCATCAACGTTCACTTTCCATGTTTTAAGCAGAATTGGTGAGACTTAATGAAGGGTGAGATTAAAATCCACAACCACTCAGATTTCCAGCTAAATCACTGGAAATAGTCCCTAAATGAAGAAGCGCTGAAAAAATTGGCTAAGTAAAAGTTCTAGCCCACAGAGAAGTAACTTCTCTGTGTCTAGCCTATACAAATGCGACTGCTTTTGTTGTTAGCTTTGCAAAAAGATATACAGACGGAAAATACATACAAATATAATGCTCATCTTTAAATCGTACTTAAAACACGCCTAGCTGCATTACGATTATTCCAATAGTGTTGTCACTAAGCTCGTTTATACTGTTTCGGCCCCGTAATTATTGCGAGAGCAAAACCTTCGGAGACAATTTCATATTTTTAAGCCCTACAATTCAAAAGCGTGGATAATAAAAAAAAAAACAAATCAAGGTTTCAAGAGAGTTGAAATCTTGCTATAATAAATTATTTCAGCATTTTAATTTTATCTCTATAAATCTGAACCCCTTTATCATTTACTATGTTGACAAAACTCGGACCTCCTAGTGAATGAATAACAGCATGCTTCCACGGCAAAATTAAGTACGGTAGGTACGTCACTTCATTTTAGCGTAACCGTTGTATTGTAGCACAGACTATGACCAAACAGACGTATGACGTTCTCACATTCGGAACGAAAGACTTTATTTATTCTTAAAAGCTAAAAGAATAGATCGACTTTTCAATTTCGGTCGCCATTCAAAATTTATTTGATATCAATGGCTTTAGTACGAAGTTATATAGATACTTATTCCCTTTCTGTGTTTATATTGAAACAAATTTTGACCTACCGTATACAGCTTTAAGGTTTTAACACCACCAAAATACTGAAAACGGGTTTACATACACGGTTTGTCAAGAATCAAGATTTCCATAAAACATAACGATCTACTTCAAAAAAGAAAAAAATACAAATCTATTAAAATAATAAAAATCAAATTAGAAGGTCTTCCACCTTTCCTATCAGCTTTGACTATTAATACAACAGTCAATGCTATCAGGGAACCTATTAGACCTACTTGAATTTGTCTGTCCGAACCTCAGACGCTCCAAAGTTTTGGTTGATTCAACAACGTTTTCTAATCTGATACGTATATTAATGCTGACTTATTGTTAGTTAATGCGGACGTAATGTTACTTTTGGAGTGTGATTAAATCAACTCAAATTTGAATAATATCTCATATTAAACACTTTTGCAAAACGGACAGCTAGCCTCACCGTTTAATATACTGGAAAATATACTGGACCGAATTACACGGGGTTGGTACCAAATGAAAGATATTTTCCTGTAGATGTGCAGAATCCCAAATAGGCCCAAAAATAAGAACGAGAAATTATTTTGGAATTTAAAAAAAATTAACATGGACCTTATGGGTTGCCATGTTGGTAACGAAATAACAAAAAAATATAAACAGAAAATCGAAACAAATGGAAGAAGTTCCTATCACATGTTTTATTTACAGCGTGGGGTGAAAATAGAGAAGTTTGCACAATATACTTTTGGTCGAGTTTTCGACCACGGGGCAAGCTCCAGTATTTATTTATTTTTCAAAATGTAAGTCAGATTTTAAATAACTGTTATAAAATCATTTCAAACGCAAACAAAGGAAATTAAAAACTTGCAATAGAAGAAAAATTGGAACTGTGAGGATTGTCTGAAAATGATTCCAAGCCTTTAAGATAAGTTCTTAGGTTACCAAAGAAATACTGAAAAAGTATTGACACAATTTAAATGTATTGGACATCCCTGAGTTCTGAAAATATTGAGAGTCCTATTGCTATTTTCGTGGTCCATTCTACACTTATACTGGCTAGTGGCTAGGTAGTATACAGTTTTTTGCACTGTGGCAGGAACGTTTTAATTGGCCCCACACTGCCATCGTGATAGGCTTGTTATACCCAGGCCCAGAGTGGCTCAACTAACAAGCCGCTACTTGGCTAGCCTCCTCTACACAGTCCAGCCCGAGGCTAGCTCACATTACCCAGGGAAAATGAAAATAGGATTTTAGTGGAACCTATGCCCCCTTAAGTATACGATATCTAAACCAACGTTGTAAGTTCAATGTTACGTTTGGTAAAAATCGTGATACGGTTTAGTTTTGGAGTTGATAATGTGAATACAATTTCAATTCTAGTTGACTTACGTCAGAAAAGTCTATTCAGTTAGGTCTATTTAAAGCAGCGTATAAAATTTTACTTGTTGTTCCAAGTAGACGGTGGTAAACCATAATTGAATGGGCTATGAAGCTGCGGCTATTTTAAACCTACTTCGTTACGAAATTTAAAATACTGTTTCCTTAAAGAGATGTGACCAGTAAGTGTACTGTATACTGTACTCTTATTACCAACTCTATTTTCAACTAAGATATTACTAATATGAGTACTGCATTTTCAGATATTAGCACTATGACTGGTGTAGACTCACTACAACTACTAATCTATGGTATTACCACTACATCCACTCATTACATTACCACTCATATATTATTACTCAGATTTCACATCAGGCTGAATAATATACTGTACTTAGATTATAACACTACATTCCCTAAACCATGATACATCATTTCAACAATTCTTTATTTTTAAACCACGCTACAGCCTCTTAACTGAGTGTTGAAATCTGATCTTGAATCAAGATCAATGTGAAAGTATGAATTGTTATTTTGTAATCGAACTCTCTGAAATGTAAATTCCAATAACAAAATGCTTGGCACCATACACACACTTTCAAATTTGAAAATTCAAAATGAGCAAAAGGTTCAACATCAACTTGTATTTACTGTGTCAAAATGTTATCACCGTTTCCCGACATGCGTCGCATATCACATTTTGGGATTGAAGATTTACGCCAACGTGTTTACTCCATATGAAGTAGGAATTTGCTTACACTTCTTGTCTCTAAACATGTTTTATCTTTTGCAACAGTCAGGAAAACTCAATAACTCCCCTGGTTATGTAGTGCCGGCCGCACAATTTTTATTTCAGCTGCAGTTATTTTAATAAGAACAAAATGAGAGCATTCTATTGGCTGAGGGAACACCATTAGCGCAATGAAACGGAAAGAAGCCATCGACCTCGGTGGTCTAGTGGATAGCGTGCCGGGCTTTGAAACTTATGGTACCAGGTTCGAAACCCAATCGGGGACAGAAACTTTTTGTCTAAGATTTTTGCATTATCAGCAAGTTTGGTTAGTTTTGTTAGGTTATTACAGTTAAATTTTATAATTAAAACCTTATAAAATTGAATTTGAGCTATTTATAGTTTTATTTTATGAACAGAACTTTTTTTCGATTAGTAAACCTTCATTCAATTTTCTCATTATCAGCAAGTTTGGTTAGTTTGGTTAGATTATCACAGTTTAATTTTATAATTAAAAAATATAAATTTTAATTTGAGGCATTATAGTTTTATTTTATGAACAGAATTATTTTTTCTATTAGTAAACCCCTTCATTCAATTTTGCCATTATCAGCAAGTTTGGTTAGTTAGGTTAGGTTATGACAGTTTAATTAAAAAATTAACTATATATTTTTTTTAGAGTTTTAGGCCTACAATAATTTTTTTTTTAATTTCTAATTTTTAAACTCTCATTTTGTCCGTATTAAAAAACTGCAGCTGAAATAAAAATCGTGCAGACCGGCCACACACAGTTTCAACTACATGTTTTGTCTAGAGTCTACAGTTAGTACGGTGTTGTAAACTGAATGGAATGAATCATCTAACTAGCTTTGTTACTGGCTTAGATCAGCTGTTTTTGTGTTGTTTATACGAACACAATAATCAAGGGCAACTGGGTCCAGTTCTAATTAATCGAAATAATTAGACTTTTATCAGGATCGGACCAGCAGCCTTCACATTGTAAGGCGAGCTTGATATCCTCTAGTTATCCTTTAAAATAGAACAAAACCTGCTGTTTACGGATAGCCAGGTATAAAACATAAATCAAGAAGAAAGTCGTGCAAGTTAATGATACTGTATTACGTTCGGGTG